AGCGCCCTAATCACCTGGCCATGCCGGGCCTACTTGATTAGACTGGACAATTAGTGGAGCATGTTTAATGTTTCTTAATTAACTAATTAATTAAAATAAAACAAACAAAAGCTAAACAATGATCTACGCTCTCTCTCTCCACCGTTAGGAATCGAAACATGGATTATAATGTTCTAGACCAGTAAACTTCCCGCTGATCTAGGAAGGCATTGAATGTTTATAGTGACACTTTGTTAAACGATTGATAAATTTTTTAAACTTTTTTTTATCATTTGCAAGTAAGTAAAAAACTCAAATCCTGTTATGAAAATAGGTAAAAGACAGAAACTAAAACTCATTCTTAATTTTTGTATTTTTTTGTACACGTTTCTCGTTCGCCACGGGTCTCGTAGACTGTGACTCTCACCAAAACCGGGAAGACCGACTAGATGAGATGTGGTCAAGTCACACTGTGATTCTCATCACAAACGGGAAGACCGACTAGATGAGCTGTGGTCAAGTCACACTGTGACTTTCACCACAACCGGGAAGACCGACTAAATGAGGTCTGGTCAAGTCACCCTGTGACTCTCACCAAAACCTGGAAGACCGAATAGATGATGTGTGGGCAAGTCAAACTGTGACTCACCACAACCGGGAAGACCGACTAGATCAGGTGTGGTCAAATCAAACTGTGACTCTCACCAAAACCGGGAAGACCGACTAGATCAGGTGTGGTCAAGTCACACTGCGACTCTCACCCCAACTGGGAAGACCGACTAGATGAGGTGTGGTCAAGTCACACTGTGACTCTCACCACAACCGTGAAGACCGACTAGATGAGGTGTGGTCACACGAAATAAATGCAGGATATTCCACGCTCTTTTCTGATGTGTAATCTTTGTTAGATGCTATACTACTAACAAATGATCATACGGATTGATAGGCTGCTGTTGTTACCAAAGTTCCCTATATATTTTTCAATCCATGGGCGGAATGAATTTTTTCATGTGCACCAGTATCAAGGCAATGTGCGGATCTGCGCTACCAGTATTTTTTAAGGAGTGGGGGGTATTTTTAGGCTATCGACCTTATTGGATTATTAGGCCGCTTTGCAATGCTACCAGTTGGTTATTTGAGCTTTAGGCTTATCGACTGCCAGGGCCGTCAACGTGTTGAGACTCCTCACCATTAATGAGGAAGTGCGCGGCTGGAATAATGAAGTGCGCGGCACTTGATTGATCGTTGTGCGACCGCGCAGCTAAGAGGAAATACAGGTTGTTACTATTATCAGGAGACCAACAAATTTCTACTAGTAGTAACTTTCAACGACAGAAAGGTGGGTTTTAAGAACTTTCATCTATAGATACTTATCTGCCTTTGTTTACTATGTGTGTTCTAACTTTAAACCGCGAGTGCTATGATACATAGCCATGTAAAATTACTTTGACTTGTTAGCTGAAATTAGAGACATTGTCATCACTAATTAAATATTTGTCTAAACCTAAAACACAGAAAGTGCTAGCTTTAGTATTGCCTATTATTGATTGTACACCCTCTGTATCTACTCTTTTAACATACTTTTAATAATGGAAATTTATTACATTCTTTGATTTAGTTGGATGAAATTTTTTTCTGTCGGTTTTGTTTTATCCATTCCTTGGACTTTGTTATATCTCAGTCCAAGAATATGACATATTTTCTTAATCTGTTCAGTTTAAAGGGAAGATTGAATATTTATCTTTGTTTTTATTACAACATATATTCCTTTTCATTTTGAGAGCGATTAGTCAGTCATATGCATAAACCATTCTGTAAATCTTTGGCAACAAAGATTTTCCTATTTTCCAAGTTTTTCCTGTTTTGATTAATCAGGAACAATTCGTTTTCCTCCAACTGTTAAAAAAAATCGAATATTTTCTCGTTAAAATTCAAATTTGAGAGTGACATTGTTGTATAAAAATTCCCTGTGTCTTAGTTGTCAAACGTAAATCTCATCTGAATGTAGGATTACTGTTAACAGCCAGTGAACGCAAACAAGCCAACATAAAAGTGGGCCCTTGGTGGTCGTATATTTGTAACACTATCCTTATTTGCCCGTTCAAATCACCCTCTTATCTTGGGTATTCGCACGAATCGCTCCATATATTATAAGTGTAGACGTTACTTGTGAAACTTTCGCTAACGCTACAACAGAATGAACTGTGTGCGAGGTACCCTTATTGAGTGATTTAAACTTGTCTATTACAGATTTTGGTTACACAGCTGATCTGGATGTAAAGTGGTAATTTGTTGTTCGAGTAGTGAAATGGGCATGATTATGCCGTGAATTACAAGAGGAGTAGTAGTCAGTGCTGAATATTTTGAGTTAACGTTTCGCACTCAAGGATGCAATTACCTGAAACAGTTCATCGGGTAATTGAACATTTGGATCTACAACATTTAAATTTTTATAAAACAAAAAAAATAAAAAATACAACTAGAAGGCACTCAGAAGAGCGCATACCTCCGCCACTCAGCGTTAATCATATTCAGCCCTCAAAACATACGAAAATATGTCTGTATGTCCATCTTCATCAACGGACACAGACCATTTTTTGGCAGGACAATGAGGAATAATATTTTACATATGTCTTCCAAGTTTCGTCAAAATCCGATTATTTTTGACTGAGTTATAGAGCAAAAATAGTGTAAAAATCGGTCCACTTATTAACAGATGCTCGTGACATTGCTGTGACCTTGACATTTGATATTGACTAATCATTTCAAAATTGGGTCATAGTCCAAATATATACCAACTTTCGTCGAAATCCATTCAGCCATCTCCGAGAAATATTGCTGAAAAAACACACACACAATAATGTTCGTTGAAAAACTCACTCCGTTAGGCTTAAAACTCAATTTTTCTGTGTCATCCTCTGATTAGTGTTTTAGTTTTATTGCAGTAATATTATGTTTACTTATGTTCGTTTAAGTTTAGATTCATAACTTGTAACATGTAACATCGCTTAATCGCTACGGAGTGAATCTAAAGAAGATTTTATTTGTTACACACATAATGGTAAAGCTGCCTAGAACAATCAACTTAGTTTCTATGTAATGATGTCTGAAGACTTATAATGTTAAAAGCCATGTTTCAACACCCGTAATGAACATAGCACAAATAGCCCATTGTGTAACTTCACGCTTAACAACAAGCAAACAGCTTCTTTGTAATAAAATTCTGAGGCTTTTATCCCTAGTGTCCAGGATGGGAGATTACGAGGATAACAGTTAATATTCTATATTCTATATCTTTAACCTATTGTATTATATTATATTCAGTAAAGAATATTCCACAATAACTATACAGCTTGGCATAAAGACATTTTGTGAGTTTCTAGCATTTGATATGGTAGAAATACTTATAAAAAAAGGTTTTTATAACCCTTCGTTTACACAAAAGATTTTTGAGATCGTAATTTTAACCTAATGATATTCGTATGAAAAGACGTGTGCATGCATGCATGGCTACGAACCAAACACTGGCTGAAGAAAAATTGTTATCACGCTTCCGTAATTCTGTCTGTCTGTTGTTTTTGTCAAAATCACAGACTGAAACCTCAGGTAAAATTCAAATTACTGAGTAGCGGAATGATAAAGAAGTTGGAGTGTAACATTTCGAAATACTAATAGAGCACTGTGTGGTTTTAAATCACTTACGTAAAACTAGTATCAGCTTATTATGGACTGATCTGACGCACTCGTTTGACAAATAAAAATAAACCAATGTGATGAGGAAAACAAGATCGACCAGTTTCATATGTCTTATTTATTTTCATTTTATGCATCAAAATATTTTGTACCGAGCTATCTCCCGGTGGGTCAGCTGTAAGTTTACGGAATTACAAAGTTAAAATTCGGAGTTTGTTTTCCCGCGGCGAGTATAACAGATTGTCCAATGTGGCTTTCCGCTGAAAAAACAAACACATTATCCCGAGCTGTGAGATAACAACGTTCTTACAGTGGTTATTTTTCTCTGTTTGTTTGTTTGAAGTTAAGCACAGAGCTACACAATGGTCTATCTGTGCTCTGCCTACCACGGGAATCGAAACCCGGTTTCTAGCGTTGTAAGTCCGCAGACATACCACTGTGTCACTGGGGGGGGGCGTTTTTTGTATAAATGTTTATTGAATCAAGTGGTTTAAGACGTTTAAAAATGTCTTCCATAATCTCAAAGAAAATAATTTCTCCGAGAGGGGGCCAAGGGCCGCCTGGAGGGCTCACCTGTTTTAACCACTCGCACCACTTTACAGTAGTGTGTTGTCTGTCAGTCAGTCAATAGACACTAAAATGACGACACATAAGGGACGCTTGACGTTCCCATTTACACTGTCGTGACATGTATTATTTTCTATAATCATCATTTTAATGAAATTAGTTTAATAACATAGAACAGATATGTCGTGGAAGCAGCTTCTTGATTATGTTGCATACTGTTGCCTAGGGCACGTGGACGGCTTTTGCCACTTATCATTGTTCGTCAATTCTCACATGTTACAAAAAGTAGTATTTTGTTTATCACGACTTACTGCTAGTCTCTTTCTGGATGGTCCTGGGTTCCCAAGTTTATTCATGTTCCTTTGTTTTCTAATGTCATTAAGTAGAAGGGATCTCCACGTTCTAAAAAATGTATATCTCCGATCTAAACTTATATTTATGATCTGAGATTATGAATATTTTGAGTCGGAAAAGTTTATTACTTACGCTTCTCAGAAGTGATCAGTTTTCGTTAACATTACACTACGTACGAACGCTAAACAATATCAAAGTGTAGTTCTGATACATTCTGTTCCACCAAAAATTTATCTCGGGTGTGGTTGTCATGTGACTTGATGATTTGAATACTGAAAATCATTTTAATCTAACGTATTCGGGCTTGTATAATGAGTATATTATGTATGTTCATGGAGATTTCACTGGTAATAAATATGATATTGTAACTAGGAGTAGTGTAATAGTTATTACAATGAAAACAAGAATGGTAGTTTTATTTATTTATTTCACTTTAAATTACATCCATAAATTATATGGCAATAAGTTTCTCTATCATTGCACATCGTACATAACAAGGACAATAAACAGCATTAGAGTAGACATATCTCCACTAATCTATATGACTAACCAGTGCTGAACGGCCAGTGTGACTTACTCATCGTTTCTTATACCCGAATTTATGTGACTTTGGCCAAACTTAACCCTAAGACCACCCATGCTCATTATTTCAAATATATACATTGACTTCTATACAGACCAGTCACACTCGTTTAACAAATAAAAACAAACCAATGTGATTAGGGAAGAAGTTTTCACACGTAGGCAGTAGGTAGAGAGTGAAATTTTACACACAAGGTAAGATTAGATGTACCAGTAATTGATCACGAGGTGCTGATGGGATGGGACAATCTCGGTTAAATACTCGAACAGATTTTCATTCCGTTAAAGAAGGCTTGTAACCACACTCGGCACAGTGACGTGGATTCAGCATCTTACAAGTGAAGGTCTGAAGAGCAGTGTGAGCTTCTGGAAGGAAAAACAAAAACAAAAGATTTTTAAATACCCACAAGAAATCGAAGCACTTTTCTTTAAGTATTTAACATAAGTTACAGGAGCATCACAGAGAAGCTCAGATTTTGATCTTGGCAGCTACTGACCTTATTCCATATACTGTGTAGACATACATCTCTTGGTGATTATTAACTATATGACCATATGGATACCACTTTGTCTTGTAATTATGGTTTATAGCAACAGAAGCATCACGTTACCGGTGTATATGATTAAGTTGTTTTCATACTTCCCTGCTAAAGTAAATCAGACCTTCTTCCAACGTCCACTGCCTTTACAGTAAACATAGATATATTATTTGGTGGAAATTTTTTAAATTTAGCATCCATTTTTAAGTTTTGGCATTAGCACCAGAACGAGAATAACTTTACATGGCAATATGAGGGAATGGAAAGGCTGAAGTGTGTTGTCGATAATAGGCCTTTAGTGTTTTCCTTTAGGTTTCTTCTTTGACCGAATAAACACATTTGACAACTAAGCGGTGAAACCTACCAAAAACAACAGGTTGGTGTATGACGCTTAATAGAAGATATTCGTGTTTTGTGCATAAATTAAAATAGTATGAAATAAAACATGTTTTGAAATTTTATATTGGAATATTTAACCCATGCTTTAAAAAAATAAGACAAAAAATCCGGAAGTTTTATGCTTTCATGTGCCAACATTGACTGAATAAATATTCTTGAAAAAGATGGAAACATCGCACCGTTTGAGTATTATCGTTTGGATTATGTGAGGGACTACAATTAACACGTGTCTATAATTAAAGTTGTTTAAACATTTGTTTAACAACAAGTTAAAGCTTGGAATGGTCTATTCTTTCATTGGGGGGTGTGTCTGTGAGCCAGACTAGTTTCAGAGAATTCCACTCCTCATCAATGACCCTGGACACTACCACCAATTCATTCAGCTAACAATACGAAGAATTAAATTGTGGC